GTTTGGTTGTCTGATACGATTCTTTGTTGGATATTGAAAATTTACATTCTACTTGTTCGCTTCTTGATCAATGCCCTCACAAATTCAAATCTGCTTGATGTTCCCACTGCCATTCCACTGGGAACATCAAGCCCGTCCTTGCTCTCATTAACCTTCAAAGAGATCATGTAATGAACTCTTTGAAGGTTAATGATTTTGCAAAATGAAAATAGACTGTTTATCACCAAGCGTCTCCTATTATCATTGTGATGGGCAAAAAGGTACTGGGCACCAAACATAAATCATGTGATTCCTGATCCATAACAAAGCCACGGAGTTGGAGACTTCCTATCAACCTTCTTGATAGGTCCCATGATTTTCATGACTTCCAAGTCCTGAGAAACATCAGAGCGGCCCAAAAAGAAGCAGCCAAAGCTTTATACAACCTCATATCTACTTCTGCAACCAAACCCACAACGAATGATGTGGATTTAAATACGTATGATGTCAGTCACAATGGTTATCACCCTGTCTCCTGCACCTAGACTTAGCTTCCCGTGGAGCAACAAGTTAATAGTCAGCAGCGAAAAAACAACTACAAACAGTCATTGAAAAGAAATTGGGTGACTTACGTTGGCCCAAAATAAATGAAGACTGATGTGTGGATCTCCGCCGACTGATTTGAGGATATCCGAAGGTATCAGGTGGTCTCAGAGCAGTTAATCTCCTGAGAAAGCCCGTCGCTCAGTGGTATGGCTGATAATTCTTATGTTAATAAGGAATGAGTCATTAGGACACAAGGCCATTGTCCAACAGAAGAAGATTCAATGACCTTGGTGTTGAGACTTGACCAGGGGATCACTGGCAACATAGCAAGATACCAGTTTGGTGAGATACCAGTTAAGAGAAATGATCATTATCATTACACGTAGGTGGAAAACATGATTCCAGTGAATCAAACTCGGATTAAGAATTTGTTAGAAACAATTGTTTATGTAGGAGCATTCATAAACAATTGTTGATACATGGTATTTATGTGCATGTACTCTTGAACTTTGCAGTTCATAAGTAATCAAGCGGAAAGGAAGCCACATGATTCCAACTCACTGTCAGGCACACCATCTTTGATGTATTTCATAAATATATGCGTGCAAATGTTTATAAAATAATCATTTAAGTAAATCCAGTTCAGTGAAATGGAACATTCATCATTTAAACAACGTAATCACGTTGATATATTGTAATCTCATGTTGACTTCAGCTTCTTATATTCTAATCTCAAGTTTACTTGCAGG